TGTGTTAGCATTCATGTTTGCTTTACACATACATGTTATATGCCACAATTTCTGGAATCAAGTACTAGATTGATAACTTGCATTTGTCACTGAAACAAATTGAAAACGTACACAGCATGGACAAAGTAAATAATAAGACCGCACTGTTTAGATGCGTTTGATGATTTACCTGAATGTATATTGCCCCAAAACATAAGAACTTGTTTACATTTCCATCATAAATACAAAATAGTAACAACTCGATTTCGTTTCTATGCTGTTAGCTTCAAAATCGGTAACTAATCGGTAACTGATCTGAAGCTGGGGTATACGATGCATGATGAGTATGATTCGTGAGAGATTGAAGGAACAATAAAGAACAAAATACAAAGAGGTTTAAAATATAAAGCTGGGGTAATTAATCTTAGAGCATCTTGTGCTCTTTGTATGACGGATATGAGCACAATAAAATATCAATTATTTAGTTAATTACAATTCTTTTATTTCATTCCCTTGTGTCTGTTATTATTATTATTTTTTCTGCATTTCTTCCCTTGGTCTTCAGTATACTTTTGGAGCGGACCTCGAGAAGGGTTTGATCCGGCCACTTACACATCACCTAACCCCACCGAACTTGGAGAAGAACTATTGTCCCAAAGCAGTCTTAACACCAGTCACTCCAACACTAAGGAAATATGTAGACCAGGTTATTCCCATCAAAGATCCTGTATGATAAAGCCTACATTGGCAGGAAGATGTGTGACTCCAGGGATGTTAATGGGGTCTTTATAATAGTCCCTTCTAAAGTAAAGAGACAATCTGACCAAGTTATTTTCCCCTAAAGCTCCTGTACGATAAGGCATACATGTGCAGAAAGATGTGTTTCTCCGGTAATGTAAAGGTAGTCTTTATAACAGTCACTTCTACAGTAAGGAGACTGTGAAAGTTGTAATTTTGTATTTGTCAGTTAAAGTCATTTTATTTAGTATTTATTGATTTAGCTTGACATTGCAATAATAGAACTACAGAAGGCGTTTGGTCAAAGATTACTTTGACAATCCTTAAGTTTTTTCTAGTTTAAAGGTCAGAAACTGGTTTGGCGCCACCTGTTGTTGGCTGATTTGAAATGATCATGTTTGCAAAATGATTTCTGTTTTGTGAGGAAAATCTGTGGTTTTCTGGAGCATCCTTTGTTCCTGAGAGCTGTTTCTACAGTATTATGGGGGCACAGAGGTTAGTTAAACCACATATTTGAGCATTATGAAAATGAATGCAAAAAAGGTAGTTTTTAAGATGTTTACATTGTGTGAAACTTACACAGTGGCACAGTAATTTGTATGGCAAATGTATAACATGTGTAAACTGTGTAACCACACATATGATATTACAATTACCTTCCCAGAGATATCTTTTTAACATGTCATTACATCTATAATTGATGTTTTGGTTTTGCTTGAAGTTTAAAGAAATAGTAAAGTTAAACGTATGATGCAGAAGAAGACATTCTATGATGAAAATGGATGAGGAATGTGTTCCTATTTGTGTGAATGACAGGTCAAGGTCATTACTTTGTTATTGTGTTTCTTGACTTTGATAAAGTCATTCAAGCTCGTTAAATATGGTCACATTATAGTTGAAATCGTGTTAAATCTGAATTAGACATGATAAAGATGATGTAAGTTTAATTGTGTGTTAACTGTGATATTCTATATGAAATTCAAAGAGAGTTAGACACTGAATTCAGACAATGCCTTTGATTTAATAGAATGCTATAGCTGCTAAAATGTTGTGAAACTTACATTCATGAAAACATACTTTAATATTATGCATTCCTGTTATGCTTTATCACGTACAGTTTTCACGGAGTGAAGGTACAGCGAATGATTAAACGCCAAGGAGAAGAAACTGGCACTCCCGTACAAAAACCTGAGTCATTGTAATTATTCAGCCTCGCAAGCAGTCACAGAGACACTCAGACCAAGTTATTTCCACAATAAAGCTCCTGTACGATAAAGCCTACATGTGCAGAAATATGTGTTACTCCAGTAATTTAAAGGTAGTCTTTATAATAGTCACTTCTACAGTAAGGAGACACTCAGACCAAGTTATTTCCACTAAAACTCTTGTACGATAAAGCCTACATGTGTATAAAGATGTGTTATTCCAGTAATGTAAAGGTAGTCTTTATATTTAAACAGTCGATTATAAAGCAAGGAGACACTCTGACCAAGTTATTTCCACTAAAACTCCTGTACGATGAAGCCTGTATCTGCAGGATGATTTGTGACTCCAGCAATACAGTAAGGAGACACTAGAACCAGCTAATTCCAATGAAAGGTCCTGCATTGCTTTTGAAAAATCGCACTTAAAACTTGCAATAATCTAGATATTTGCAGGTGAATTGCTTGCGAGTTTCCAATGTTATTACAAAGTTTTTTCACCAGGACCTCTGGCATTCCCTGTGCAAGTCACGTGAATATTTGATTTGTACATACATTCTTGCTGTTCCAAGCGGGTTGCTAGTAGATCCAGTAGTACACTGAGATCCTTTTCAAAGAGATTTATCTACCTTTGCCTCGATCACTGTCTGTAAATGGGTACATGGCAGGACTCCTCAAGATGATATTAATGGCAGCCATGCTAATAATCATTGAGCGCCAGACAATCTGACAGACATGAGGGCTTTACAAGATCCCACTATTATTATTACTATTACAGCATTATTATTATTATCACATTGGCAACCCGGTCTCTAAATATGATGTCAGCCTCTTACATTTTAACCTTTGTTGAATGCAAGAAATTGTATTAATTATATTTTGATCAAAATATATATGTTTCATGCCTATCTTGATACTATATCACGGATTACATGTTCTGTCAGGCACCCCCATATAAGATAGGTCTACTATTCCATTAACATTTCAAAAAATGGAAGGTTTAGGTCATTCTCTCATTCAGACCAGTGGTGAATTGCAAAGGGATGACATCACAACATTTTGACCGCATTGCAAATTAGTCTCACAGATTCCAGGATTTTCATGATTTTGACGGATTCATAACTTTCTTCTTGATTGTCTGATTTTTCTCAAACTTTTAGTGAATTGTTTTTCAAATTGTTCTGCTTCTATTAAAAATAATTTAATATCAGGGTGAAATTCCCCTTTAAATGGTTTGCTTGATTCTTTACAAATGTCATTTTATTTCATCGTTAAATGAAAATTTCCTGTTCAAACCGCTGACTTATAGTTATTTCTGATATTAACACCAGTGATCATGTCAAAATATTCTCATTTTTTTGGACAAAAAAAGGCATATTTCCTAAGCGATACATTGCATACAGAATCACCCTTAAACAGTTTCTGTTTTCGAACAGTACATATATTGGAGTGCCACTATAGACTTTTGTCACACAAACAGTGTGTGTGTGTGTATATATATATATATATATGTATATATATATATCATTGTTGTCAGTTTATCATCTATAAGGGTAATCAAAGGTTGGGTAAAGACAAAAGCAAAATATATCTGAGAAACAAGTGGTGATTGATAGAAAATTAGGAACACTGAAGGAAATTGTTAATATTGAAACTTTAAAAAAGACGTTCTTAAAAGTGTGGGTAAAATTTGAACTGGCAAATTTGGCATGAGACTGTAACGTATTTCTAGTTTTTTTTAAATAGTTTATTCAATTTTGTTTGATCAAATTTTCTCCTGCCCTTTTTTAAATTTGTATCTTAAAGCCTTCCAAAAAGTTACTCCTGAAAAGATTTATTGCATTTGTATGACTGTTTTTTTAAATATTTTATTTTACTGTTATGTATTACAAATATACAACAAGCAACTAGGAAACGACAGGAGTGTATTAATCACGTAATGTCGAAACATTACTAATTTGGTAACGAATATCCTTATTACGATATTGTTTTCAATACCAAAAAGGTTAATTATGTGAAACCTGTGTTTAAAGGCCACTCAAGGGAGACAACAAAATCAGCCTTTATAAGCAGGTAAATCTTCATGTACATTTTGTATAACTTCCTCCAATAAATAACACATTTCGAGAGAAAAAGAAATAAACGAAGTCTTTCATTTAGAGGCTCAAAAACATTTCAGATTAGTGTTCGTTATAGCATCGTACTCGGATCGCAACATAAATCATGCCCATAGCTGGCGCTATGACCCATAATCATTGGACAAAATCACATCTCCAAACAGTGTATACAGTGCAGAAAACAAAATCAGCATAGAATGCTATAAACATGATATGAAAGAATACAATAAGCAAAGTTAGCAAACAGGTCAACAAAATACAAAAATATAAGCAGTGTTCTCAATATGGCAGTATGAAAGATATGTATATATGCATCTACAACTGATGTCGAGATGAAAATACACAAATTAGCATATTATAATACATCATATACCGACAGAAATGAATGAAAAACAGGATGATTATGGAACTGTAAGGCAACGGCATAATATACAACCTATGGAAGTGATCCTATGATTTTTAAATACATGTTTAACAGTATATATTAATACTAAATCAAAAGCAATCAAATATATATCAAACACTTTGTGATAAGTGGTTTATCCTATTTTTTCAAAAACCTTCCTACATTTGATTTTAGGTGAAGGTGAGATACATATGAATGACTCCTTTTTTTCTTCTTTTTTCAATGTAGATAGATTACGATCCTACATTTCTATGGATTATGGAACATCAACACTATACAGTGCGTCCCATAAAAAACGTAACCAAGAATTATCGATGTTTTGTCATAACTTAATTGCCATTATAATTATGAATTACACATGTTTGTAAAGGCTTAGATCCTCCCCTTTCATTTGATGCAACTCATATGATGCATATTTCACGCATAAGTGATTAAAAATATTTGAAGAGAGGAATTAAAAAAAAAAATCATCTGGCGGGCAGTATCTGAATTTCAAAGTTAAAACCACATTTCTAGAAAGTTCAATTTCTGCCCTTTCATATGACACCTCAATCGGGAAAAATGAGCCAGAAATAACAAAGTTTTATTTGTTTAAAGTAATGCTTGGATTTTCATAATTGGATTAAACATGTTCGTTTTCACTTGCTGCCTGCCATAGCAACACACAGAGTTGACAAAAGACTTAACTCCGTTTCGTTTTGCATTAAGTCTTTGGAAGTAACGTTTGTATTTGTAATATCTTCTTTGACATATCTGCTTGCAATATTTTATATTTGTAAAGATTACATAAAATATTGAATATTTCACATGAAGGCCGTATTTCACCTAAGAATCTGATTTTACTGATGCCTTGTAACAAACCAAGATGGCAGAGATGATAAGATTGACCATCGCAACGACAAGAGCAATACCATACGATATGAAGACTGCGTGCATCGAAGATGTGACATCATATATGTGCCCTGATCGAAATGAAATAAAGAGAACAGTTATTAAAGTTACATAGTCATGTCAAAATAATAGAATCTGAATGTTATAGTTTATCATTATCATATGAAACAATGAAGGGCCAGTGATATGGTTAACGTGATACGCCTCCCCCCCCCCTTGCCTCCCCGGAAAGTAACAGGCCTGCGGTTATGTTAATGTTCAAGTTAAAATGACTATGCTAGACCATGTAGGCTTCATCAAAAGCCCTCATCGTCGTTTTAACTATCGACCAATCACTAAATCAGCAATACAGTCGATATAATATATAATATATTGTCGACGATTTAAGTTTCACTTGCCGCATCTCTTCTCAATTTGAAGATATAAATCTGTCTTATCCTCAATCACATTCATAAGTAAAAGTTAAGATATTAAAGCCAAAGTAGTTTCTACTTTCTTTAAGTAAATGCTTCTAGATTTAAGTAAATGCTCGAATGTTTATTAACCAAAGTGATGTTTCAGCAGTATCCAGTGTTTTTACAAGCAGATCTATTTATAATTTATGTAGTTGATTTTCAACTTTAAGTCAAACTTCTGTACATTGATGAAAATGTGTTAATTTTATGAAGCAAGTAGTAGTCTTTATTCCCTTACACCCCTTACATTCAAGGCATAACATGCACTTTGTCTGGTGAATCGCATTAACCTTTTTTTTAAATTAAAGTTATGGCATTTCCATTTTAGTTTGCATCTGTTTAGAACAACAACCGACAAATGTATATCCCACATTTTGTTAATTTAATAATGTGGTTAATGAGGTTGTTTTCAATATTATATTAACATATCCTTAAAGTCGATATTTTAAAATCTTATATTCCCATTTAGCCTACAATTTGAGTAACACTAGTAACTGAATGTGATATTTATGAATAATCCTGAAATATACTCTGTGTTGCTGAGATTTTCACAAAAAACACGCTATTTTTGGAGCTGCTGCTGTATTAAGTAAGTACTAGAAAACTTGCTAGCCGCGGCAAGTAACAGGTGTAATCATATTTAAAGCTTATCTGCCGTAGTTTACAGGAGGGATTAAACCGCTCTACAAGGTCACTGGACAGGTGGTTATCTCATCAACTCAGCTCTCAGTTAACATAAGAAAAAGAGGATCATGGGGGACCAATGGTCACCGATTAGGCATTGTTTGTTATATAGAGGGCGCAAGTAGCTACCAGTAGTGCAGTGAGCCTTTAAAGTAAAAAGTTATGCATGTGATTTTTAGCAATTACCTAAGCTACACATTTTACTTATGTAGCTTATGCTTTTACCTAAAGATTTTACTAGTTAGTAATTTTTTTTTATTTTTTATGAACACGGCTTATTATTTGTGAGTTCTTTTTTCATGGACCTTTATTTACCCTGGGCTGTCAACAATACAGTGATGCACTGACATTTGTTAGTGTATATTTTATTTGAAAAATTAAAAGGATAACACAGAAAACATTTTGAAATGCATAATCAGTACTTGCAATTGTGTTTCATTGGTAGTTTAGGATAGACATGATCTTTATTACAATTCAACATTGATATCTCGAGTTGTAACTGCCATAGGTCAAAGCAGTTGCACTTTAAAAGAAGCCTTGAATTATTTGATGTATTATCTGTGTTTTTGGTGTTATAGCAAACGTGTTCGGTAATATACTAGTTCGAAGAAATCTCAGATGTTATGAATAAATCGATTATCACTACGTGATGATCAGTATTTATAGTTAAATACGTTAGTGAATATACTTCCAGTTCGAATTCAGTTTGTTCAAAACATAATTTAATCAGGTGTTATGGTATTAAGGATTGCTAACAAACACTACAAACTATATTTTTGAACTCGAATCGTATAGCCTTCAACTTCCGAGCTATTTCTGATCAAATGTTTAAGCTTGCTACAAAATGGTGCTCAGCAGCTGTTAAACCATATTATTCCTAGCCACTCTGGTCAAACATTGTCTACCACGAACTCCGAGATTTCAACTATAAAACATGATTATCGCCGAGTTGTAAAATTTCGATTTACTGAAATGTATGATTCACTAATCAGGAGATATGTCACACTCTAACTTTCTATTTCAGGTGAAGATGTGTGAACTGAAGATGTTTTTTTCTTTATTGTTAATATGAGGTGGACTTAGCATTTTGTAGATACTTATTAATGATAAATGGAATGTTATTATACTCACCGGTATGGTAAATGGAATGCTACCTTGTGAGATTTTTCAGAGTTATCATAATATTCACTATCTAGATAGTCACTTATTACTTACTAACATCCATTTTATTTCTACTTTATATAATATTTCATATAGTTTCATTTGTTACAAATTACAGCCATGACTTACAAGTTGCCTTTTTTTCTTTTGTCTTACAAGGTGCCACAATGTATGGACACTCAATATTGGACGAAAGCGATGAAATAAATATATTAAGATATACCAAAACTGTGTACCAAAACGTTATGTTAGTGATAATGAGAGATCTACCTTGGCTACCCATCAAGTCCCGAATCCAGTTTAAATTTTTTTTATTAACCTACCAATGTGTACATTAACTAGCTCCTTTTTATCTTACTGAATTGATTACTCCATATAAACCAGAATGAACACTACGTTCCAGTTCCAAGTCCCTGCTTTGTGTTCCACAAACAATGACAAAATCATACGAGGAAAGGTCCTTTTCATATGCAGCTGCTTTTTTATGGAACAAGTTGCCTGAACATCTGAAAAGCACAGGATCCTATAAAACCATTATCAATTCTTTGAAAACATATCTCTTCACCACTTCATAAATAATTAGAATCATGAACTCAGTGCACTTTTTCTTTTCTTTTCTTAAAGTGCATAGAGACATGCAATTTTGCCTATGTGTTATGCGCTATATAAAAATGTTTAATTATTATTATTATCATTATTAATGAATAACAAGCCAGGTACATGTAGTATCTGATTTTAAACCTAACTGTTGTTATCAAGATACTCCATGGAATCATTTAACATAATAATGACAATAATAAAGCTTGTATAGCAAATATGTATCTAAGTCTTTGTAATAGTGACATAAGATATTCCCTTTCAAGAAAAAGAAACAATGGGAATCTAGTCTATGACTTCCAATAAAATATATCTAGAAAGTATGCACCAAATCGCGCCAAATGAGTTCGAAAATTTCGACTTCTGAGGGGCCTACATCCCCCTCCATCCCCCTCAACCCCCCTCAGGAACCCCTTTCCCTGTCCGCGCCACTTCCTATTTTACTCCATTGTGCCCTCCCCCCCCCCCCCGCATTTTTAAAAAGGATTAACACCCCTGATTGAACCCAAGTCTATTATGTGTTACACAAACTATGGACAATGGATCTTAAGATTAATTATTTTAGTCATGAGACAGTCATGTACAAAGTGGCGTCAATAAGAAATTATCGAGTTTTCGCCACCGGCGACGCGGGCTTCTAGAACGCTAATCTTAGCGGGTGGTCGCACTCAGAGCGAAAATGTCCGCGTAGCTTGCAAACCTATGACGGCATTCAGTATTAGCGTCGGGAGTCGAGCTAGTACGGGGTGGCGAGCTTATTTAAATATCCCGTAGTCAGCACTTGCGTCGCCGTGCGAAAATTTGCTAGTGTTTATAAGGGGGAGGGGTAAGCTGATGTCTCACTACAAACCGTAATTCATGTTCATACAAAAGTTACGCCCCTGACAGAAATTTTAAAAGTGGAAAAGGAAAATAATTGAAAAGGAAAATAATTGAGAAGGAAAGGAAAATCACATCTTTCTTTCCTCAGAAAAACCCTTTTACGTGCCTGTTTAAAAAAGTAGATTTGAGCACCAATAATTTGTTCATGCATGCCAGGGGCCTGTTTCATAAAACTTTTTATCTATAAGAAATAATACATTTCTATGACAAATTTGCTCTCAGCCAATCACATGCCATGATTTCAGTAGCTTATAACAGTAGCTTGTAACTTGTTATTGATATCAAGTTTAATGAAACAGGGCCCAGTACCACCAATGTATATATACCTGATATTGTATCTCCTGCTCCTACACCTACTGCTTCCAAGAAGAAAAAGAGGGAGAGTGCACTTGGTATATTCTGTGCATCTCTTACTGCTAGCTTCGCCATCACGGATGAAATAGTTCGAACCACGAACAGGGCTAACCCTTGAACACCTGCCATTACTGCTAAGAAGATAAACGTCGAGCTGAGTGTGTCCAATAAGAAAGAGATGGTAGACACCAAGCAACAGAAGATGATGATGATTGTTGAGTCGTAGTTAAAGTGAAGGAGGACCAGAAAGACAATGCTTCCAAATGTACCAGCAATGCCTGCAATCGAAGACAAAAGTACGGCTCTTGATGGATCTATTCCCAAACCTTCTGCGTGAGGGACTAGGAATAAGAGCCAAGCATAAAAGACGTAGTTAGCCAAGAAGACGGCAGGCACAACTAGTGTACATAATGGCTCTTCGACCAGAATGAAAGATTTTACTCTCCAACTGAGGGAAGAGAATGAAAGAAGTCCACTACTACCTGCATGTATTCCGTGTTTGAGCGTGAGAAGCCATCATTATCCGATTCAGTTCCCCAATTTGCACCTCCTTGATGCTTCTCGTTCTCTATGGTAGAATGGCTATCACCTGATGAATGTGTGTCCATAAGCTGCGTATTTTCTTCTGTACTCGAAGGGAGATCCTTTGGTGGTCTAAGAATCATCGCAGAGACCACAGCATGAAATGAGATCCCACCTAAGATGAGACAGGCACCGTCATAGCCATACGCTTCAAGCGACCTCTCGACAATAATGGGTACTGTGAAGACACCACATATGATACCAAACTGCGTTAGTGAGTTCGAGAAGATAAAGGACTTTGGGAAAAATCTGGCGAGGGTAACCAGTGTGGAGAAGACTGCCATAACTATTCCAAATCCTATAGTAAAAAACGAGAAAGAAAATTGTAAATAAATCACATCTTAATTTTGACAATAATGTTGGTCTTAATGCATCAAACTCAACGTATTTTTTTTTCTTCTTCTTCAAATACCGGTTTATGGTTTTAATTATTAACATCTGAAATTAATTCTAAAATATCTTTGTCTTCAAAACACTCAACAAACCTTATTTAGAAACACTACGGTTTCATGAGAATTAATAGGCGAATATCAATACCTCAAAGACAATAATATCTATTAGCATAACACAAATTGGGTATTTATTCTTTCAATAGATAGCAAGGTTCCGGAGAGTCTCGATGAGGGGTTAGGAAATGAAAGAAGAAAGGCTTGTCATTAACCCTTACTTTACTGTTGGGGGGGGGGGGCGTTCACCATTTTCATGATAACGTGAAGTGCTATGTAAAGTCGTTTATCAAGTAAATGTATTCAAGATTGTTGATGCTTCCTTCCCAGCTGTGTGTGGTGATGAAGCATTTCATTCACCTGATACTATCCTTTGTACTACAATTGCCAGAGCACTAATTGTATGAATTATCTGATGCTCTTCTCAACTGCTATAGTTTAGTATTTTGTTAAGGAATTATAGTAACAATTTCTCCCCTGTTATATTTTGTTCACAAACATAATTTCTCTCTTCTTAGATATGATTTTTCCTCATTGAAAAGTAAAGGTTTTGTTAATAAATTTTGAAGGAGGTTCATTGATTTTAAGAACTAACTTTATTGTCATTATTGCAAAGATGAAACTTGTTATATTTATTCACAAAATATAATTTCTTTCTTCTCAGATATGATTTTTCCTCATGAAAAATGATAGGATAAGAAAATGAAGGAATATGTCGCTTGTAAACATAATAAGACGCCATTGTATTTTCGGCTGCATACACCGCGGTATGTTCGGCGTTTCAAGAGGTAACGGATGCCGTCCATGCTATTATTCCGGTTTTTTTTTTCAATTTGAAAGTGTTGTTTCTTTGATTGTTCATTAACCCTTATCCTGTGTATTTACCAACAAAGAATTCAGTTATCAGAATCGGGTCATATCCCCTTTTGAATGGTTTGACATGCTATTACAAAATGTAATAGCATGTCAAACCATTCAAAATTATAATGAGTTTAGTGTATTACACTAAACTCATTATAATTTGAGAAATAAGAGCATTGCAATTGTGTTCATTCTTTATGGGATGTCGTCTGCTTGGGCAGGATTAGTTCATATTGTGACGGCATTAAAACATCGTTATTTTTCTGGCGAATCTCTCGCATATCTCAGATGCTATGGAGGTGGTTTTATTTATATTGTTTTATAAATCACCCTATTTGTAGTTGACCTAAAACTTGTACGATAGCCATCTGTTACATTACCAGTTTTTAGTTATACGTTATTTGCCATATTTGTGATTTTCTTTAAACAGGCACTTCAAATTCTTTCCAATTAAAGCTTGGTACATAGTACATGTATAACTTCACATGGTACGTCACATTTTCAAGAAAAAGGCTGCGCCCATGTCATGCTAAAAGGCATCAAATCATGCCCATAATATCTTAATTGATATATCTCTTTTACATTTTCGTAAGAAATATTGTACATCAAAGGGCAGGAATACATCTAATTGTTATTCTTTGGGATGAGGTTTCCTTTAAAACCCATTATCCAACCGACATGATTGTGCTATGTCGAATTCCTTAGATGGGTTATTTTTAAACACAGTTCCGGGAAGATATCACAGTCAAAATAAAAAATTAAAAAATATCGTGGGGTATTGTATAGCTCTAACCATTGCGATTTAATGAAAAGGTAACAGATAAATCGAAAACTGTTAATCTAATTACAATTTAGTCTTCATAAAGATTTAAGGTAGTATACATAGGCTTATACAAGCGGCTCATTTTCTTCCCCACGTGCATGGCCCTTTACATAACTGATTGCTATCATTGTTATGTTAATCCATTAGGCAACAAGAGGTATTTGAAATAATAACAATAGAGGACAATGTATATTGAGCAGGGCAGTGGCGGTTCGGGGAGGGGGTTTCAAGCCCCTGAAATTGTTTTGCAAAGCAAGAACCCCCATGTCCGTCTCCAACCCCCGCCCCCCCCCCCTCACCCAAAATTTATTATCATTATTATTATCATTATTATTATTAGTAGTAGTAGTAGTAGTAGTATTATTATTATTATTAGTAGTAGTAGTAGTAGTAGTAGTAGTATTATTATTATTATTATTATTATTATTATTATTATTATTATTATTATTATTATTATTAATATTATTATTATCATATGTGGGACAGAGAGACAAGGAGAAGTTGGCCTAATGACGTCATGTTTTGTGACCATAGCATAACCAGGAATTACACGTCTACTTACCTGTTAAAGATATCAGTATACCAAGTTCAAAGACTGAGTTTGCAAGCGGGGCGCACATTATAGATATTGAGGCCAGTAGTCCACCTAACATTCCTAAGGTTCGAGACGTCATCACTTTCAGCAGAACATTAGCAATGGGAGCTATAGAAGTTAAAGAACCACACACTAAGATATACAGTGCGTCCAAGAAAAACGAGAATTATCGATGTTTTATCATAACTTAGTCACATTTATAATTAATAAATGACACATATTTGGAAAGCTCAGATTCTCTTCTTTAATTTGATGCAAATTACATGATGCATATTTTACGCATGAGTGATTAAAATCAATCTGAAGAGAGGAAACCAAAAAGTAGTTTGGCAGACGTTATCTGAATTTCAACGAGAAAATTACATTTCTACGTCACTTGCTGCCTGCCGTACCAACAAGCAGAATCGACAAAATACTGAGCTCCGTTTCGTTGACAATCAGCCGTAGACGAAAAAATTCATGCATGGCTGATGTCACTTAAATGGAGTTAAGTCTTCTGTGAATTCTGTAATGTTATTTTTGTAACCTTTCCGGGCCATCCCGTTCAATCGAACACTTGAAATAATTCACTTACTTTGTTTATAATAACGTAATAAAACTTATGTAAAGCAATATTCTGAAGAATTTCTATGTTATAGTATGTGATATATATTATGTAGGTGAAGTTATTTTGATTCTAAGTGCCTTTATATACTGTGAGGAAAACAAATTTCCAAAATTGGACAATAAATTTAAATTTAAAAAAGGAAATTAAAATTAATTATATTACCTGTCATGAACATCAGTGAATGCAGACTGCAGATAAAAGCAATTGTCTTGTAGTCACTATCGTACCGGTCCACCATCTCGGGAATAAGAACTCCAAACGATTTAGCCATCCCGCCATCCACAAAGAGGACTAGAAACTTACTGAGAACTATAGCGTACCGCCAGGGATCTTGCGAATCATTTAGATGTTTAGTCGGAGCCATTGTTGCTGTTGTAAGGGGCCCTTGTTGTTGTTGTAAGGCGCCCTTAATGAGACACGAAAAAAGAGAGCAGGAGGAAAAAACTAAGTTTGGGAGCCTTTATTCAGTGGTTTTAGGTTTACAAGCCTAATAATCCATAGCTACAAACGGTGCTAAGTTTGAAAAGACTGAGAACTCCGTTTTCAGACGACGAAGTGCGAGGAGAAAGCGGCAATTTTAAAACGAATGAAGGATGCGCCACACCCATCGATGATCCTAACATAGAGGTATGTAATTACAAACCTGACTCTAACTCTACGCAGGGAGTTGATAAAGAAGGAGTGGAATTTATTGAAACGCATGCGTGGGTTCTAAAGCGTAACAATGGGATGCGTAATATTCCACTTGGCTTTGAAGTTCCATTCTCCGAGCCGCTCTTCCTCTGCGGGGAATTTTGGAAGCCGGGAACCAGTTTCACATTTATTAAATTACCGGCAAAATGTCAGTGTAAATTATAAACTTTATATGGGGATTGTATTGGGAATAGTGCTTCAAACAATTTTATAAATGTATTACTCCACCCTTCCTATATTTTTTGTGCCAGAGTTGGTAATTAACAAATTTGATCCTGACAAAAACTCAATATTTAAGAATAATCTGATTTTGTTCGTATGTTTTAATGTCCCGACATTTAATCAATGATTTACAATCTTCGATAACTTAATGCGTGCTTTCGCGTGCTTTTTTTATTTTTGCAGTTGGAAAAAAGTGTGAAATTACAAGGTTTCTGTCCGCTTGTTTAACTCATTACACATTCAACAATAAACCATGTTCGTAATGTAACCAAATTTAATGCACAAGTCTTTGTGAAGTGCCTCAATACAAATTATTTCATTCACCTGATAAGAATGATAGTAATTCAATAGTCAGAATGCGAACTGCATAAATTAAGTGTTGCTAAGTAGGTCAAGCCATAATGTTTGTCCAACCTGGCAACAAATATAGTATGCAGTTTAGATTATGTCTATTGAAATACTATTATTCTTTCCAGGTGAATGGAATAATTTGTATTGAGGCACTTCACAAAGACTTATGCATTAAATTTGGTTACATTACGAAAATGGCCTATTGACAAAAAATCATTGAAAAGGACAGCGAACATTTGCTGATATACTTTTTTCTGATGTAGAAATTCTATATCCTGATAATAATTAATACTTCATGCGCTCTTTTATCTCACCACCTGGTCAATAGTTGCGGAGTAGCGCATTTTCTCCAAACGAAAATTAGCATGGGAAGGTCCGAAATGTATGTGTGTTTCAAAACAACTTTGCGTTTACCATCTCACAGAAACGTGAGTCTGGCTTATTTTCACATTAAAAACGCAAATTTGCCTGAAACTCGGCCAGAAAAGGTTAATAAACGCACCTTCTGACACTCGTAATTTGACATTTACACACGTACGGGCATATTCGATTTTAAATTTTGGAAGAGAGCGGAGCCCCTGGAGATATCTTGCGGGGTTCTAGGACACCTAACCCCAGGGCATCCACCCCCTCCACCCCACCCCCCCCCCCATTGAACTACTCCCTAGGACAATTACCCCCTACAACTATTCCCCAGGACAACTACCCCCTTGGGCAACCACCCTCTAGGACTACTACTCCCGGGACAACTTCCCCTAGACAACTACTCCCTACGACAACCTTCCTCCCGGACGCCTACCCCCGGACAACTATCCTAGGGGGTAGTTTTCCGGGGGAAAGTCGTCCCGTGGGGTGGATGTCCAGAGGATACGTGTCCTAGGGGGTAGTTGACTGGGGGTGGTTATCCGGTGGTGGATGTCCTAGGGGTAGTTACCTGGGGGCGTATTTGACTGGGGTGGATATCCAGGGGGTGTCCAGGGGGTAGGTGTCCGCATACGATCTTGCGGCAGCCCGCTGAAGAAAACGCTGTACTAAATGGTCAAGATCTGAGGGAACAGATTGACCAGGACATTAGGTGATATACTCATTGCCGAATCCATGACACATGCTCCGCCGACAAATGCTCCGCAAAAAGCGACAAATTATTCCTCCGCGACATTTGCTACGCGTCATTTGCTCTGACGTCAAATGCTCCGCCGACAGTTGCTCCGCCGACAATTGCTCCGCGACATTTGCTCCGCCGACATTTGCTCCGCCGACAATTGCTCCGCGACATTTGCTCCGCGACATTTGCTCCGACGTCAAATGCTCCGCCGACAATTGCTCCGCCCCCAAAGAACCTAGTCGAAGACAAATGCTCTCTTTTGCAGGGAAAAAAGATAGGAAGAAAGGAAAGGAAAAGAAAAAAAATATGGAAAAGAAAAGGTCAAGAAAAGAGAAGAAAAAAAAGGCTAAAGACAAGGCAAAAGGGACACAAAATAGAATATAGAAAGATTTAATATCTATATTTTTGCATTCTTTGGCCTATAACTTTGTGTCGGGACGATGTCGGTAAAATTAATGACGGTAAATGCTGCCGGCGCGGCGTCGGGACACGTCAGGGAAATGAGCAGTAAAATGGAGTATGAAATATACTACATGCTCGTGAAATAATCATTAGTGATTAAGGCAGATGGTTTTCAGTTATTATATGAGAAGGATGAAAATTCGTTTGCTCGCTATGCTATTATATTCGTAATACATTTTATACATCAGTGATTAACAAGCGATGCTGGGCACGCAGATGCTTTTTAATTTGAAACGGCAAGCCAAAGAATTTCGACCATTCGCTAACCTCGCTCGCCAACAAGGAATAAACAATAAATCCTGGAATAATACTTGCCCATTTGATTCAAATTAAAGGGCGTAATGTAGAATTGTTTATTGAAGATTATAACCTATGATTTTTACAGTTACTTATGTAAACAAAAATATGCGGAGCAATTATCGGCGGACCAACTGTCGGCGGAGCATTTGACGTCGGAGCAAATGTCGCGGAGCAAATGTCGCGGAGGAATTGTCGCTTTTTGCGGAGCATTTGTCACCGGAGTAATCGTTGCCGGAGCATGTGTCGGGTTACCCCCCTTGCCCTATTGGCGTCGCTCTGATATTTTACTCCTATCTCCATTTATCTTACTTCTCTGCTGTATACTACATCAATGACGCAGATCTGATCACCCCAATGCATTATTCTATAATTTCACCTCAAAAATAGGTATTATCAAAGAGATAGTTTGTTAACAGCTAACATCCACCTGTTTTTACTGAAAAGATGAAAACCTTTTTCAACTATCTATGTTAGTAGTTATCGGGAAGGCCTTTCTTTGCCTTGACTAAACTTTACCAATTATTACATAAAAACATGTCCTCATTGGATAAACTGGAATCGAACTTTATGTCAACCACATATACTTAGTCTGTCGTTTGAAACTATAAATATAAATACTTATTCTCTTTATTGTCACATACTTCAGTAATTAGATTTAAAAACAAAGTCCTTAAGAAAAGAAGCATTCAAGTCTCGGCTATTTCCTGAATATATAAAACGTTATAAGGCGAAAATTATACACAAAATTATTATACATTTACAAAAACAAAACAAAACAGGATAAACATACATGAACAATGTACAAAACAGAACGAACATGTCATAGGGAATCGCTACGTAAGTACACAATTTATAGTTATAGTTCAAATTAATTTAACAAATACAAGAAAAGGGACTTCCGTCATGGAAAAGAATAGTAAATAATTTATAAGGTAATTATAAGTTTATAACTATTATTAACATCATTATTATTATGAGGAGTTGTGGTTGTTGTTGTTGTATATGTCAATATATAAAAGGTCTAATTCTATAACTTCTGAATACAATCAATTGTTGTGTTATTTTTTAAAAATATTTAAAAACGGTATGAACTACTTACTTATGTGTATAATCAAGGAGAAGGCCTTTCAGTGCAGATCAATGACGTCATGTACCGCCTTTACTTAAGGGGCACAGCGAGATTTTTCGACGTAATAATAGTTGAGGAATAATGAACTATAAACCGCTGATTAACTAGTCCGATGTAGTCCTCACGAGCAGGTCATGTGGCAAAATCCGAACTTAGGTACAGCGGTGCATGCAGGTCAAATTGGTGTAGACTGCGAGACTTGAATCTTTTGAATAATAATTCCAGCCGAATTCGTAACTGTCCGGCTCTGATTGCATCAAAATCACCTAAGTTGCAAAATCTCATAAAACCTGCTTGAGTTGAGAAAGTGGGATAGTTCTCACATGTCGACTCCCTGTTTCGAACAGCCCGACACGTAGAGCATACGTACGAGGAAGAAGTAACACACAGCGTTGGAAATTCCAATCGAAAGCGGTCAAGTTATGAAAATGAAAGAAATGTAACAATGCCTCGGATGGTCGCACGCATTGTTAAATATTCCCGGGGTCTCAGTCCCGTAGACCGCATGGTGACCACTTGTTTTCCGCACACCCCCTAAACGAGGATTTCTTTTGATGCCAAATTACACCCTAAAGGCCCTATCTCACTGAGCGGTGAATGCTTGCGAACGTAGCGGATTTGGGGTTTCGCCAGGATTCGTAAAAGGTTGCAAAAGGTTGCAAGAAAGTTAGCAAACAGTTTTCATTGTCGCAAACAGTTTACTTTGCGAATTTATAGTTTCGCAAACGGTCTTTAGACGGCGTCGCTCTTTGTTATCGTCAGTTCTTTTTGTTTCGCCAATGCTAGCGACCACGTTACGATATGGTTCCATTATAAAATCGACCCATTGAGTATAAGGAGTTCTCAAAAGGTCTCAAACGTTCACAAATAGTGGCAAAGGATTGGCAAATAGTTGCTAATCTTCGCAAAAACTGTCGCTAACATTTACTTACTGTGGCTAATAGTCGCAAACTGCATTTCGCATACACAAAAAAAAAATCAAAAACATTCGCTCAAGTGTTGCTAATTGTCGCTAAACGACACTAAAAGTCGCCGATTTTTCTCCAACATTTGTCAGAAAAGTTGGCGAATCCAAATTTGCTACGTTCGCAAGCATTTGCCGCTCAGTGAGATAGGGCCTTAAACGAGGATTTCTTCTGACGCCAAAATAAACCCTAAAGGCCCTATCTCACTAAACGGTGAATGCTTGCAAACGTAGCGGATTGGGGGTTTCGCCGGGGTTCGTAAAAGTTTGCAAACAGTTTTCATTGTTGTAAACAGTTTTTCTTGTTGCAAATATTTATTTTGAATATGTTCAAAGTGTCTTTGTGAATTAATTTTTCCGCTAACAGTTGCAAGCGTTTGCAAACAATCGTAAGCGTTTGCAAAACAGTCGTAAGCCTTTGCAAACGGTGTCGCTGAATTTCTTTTTGATTTGCCAATGCTATCGACCACGTTACCATATGGTTCCTATATAACATCGGCCCCATTGATTAGTAAGAGGTCCCAAACGTTCGCAAATAGTGGCAAAGTATTGGCAAATAGGCGTTATTCTTCGCAAAAACTGTCGCTAACATTTCTTTATAGTCGATAATAGTTGCCAACCGCCTTTCGCAAACACTTTTCCCGAATTTACACCCTAAACGGGTATTTCACAAAAGTGTACTCCTAAACAAATATTGTTAAATGGTTACCCCTTGGGCATTTTGACGTGCGATAATTACAATTTAAGTTGTTGACAATGTACGTGAATTCCTACCACCCATCCTTTCCTACCGGCGCTATGGTTCCCTTTAGCTCAATAAACTATAAGCTCAAGAAAGATTACCATCAGTCGATCCTATTCAGGAGTCCGAAATCCTCCCTCTCTCACATGATGCACCCGCAGTCTATATATACTGTATAGTGTACGTGCAGTCTAGGGGCTTCTTTTTGTGTTTTTACATTAAGCAAGCCTACGTAACCGAACAATTATAGACAACCGGCTTCCCGACCAGCTTTCAATTCAGAGTCGGGATCTAGAAAAATACCACTAAACGTGTACAGCGGGACTTTGAAAAAAGTACCCTCTATCTTGAAGATGGACGTTTGAACCCCTTAATGTTAAACCCCTAAGTGGCACCGCGCGGACCGCGTCCAATCTATTAAAAAACACCCCTTTTACGCGTTTTCTTGGCACGTATGCTTACAGTATTTATATTTGACTGAGACCCCCGGATAAATATTATCATATTCATTTGTATTTGTGACTTGTTTTTTCCTGTACATGGGGTCTTTGAGATGAATTTTAGTTTTGAAAACGAATCTGATTCAATCGATATCCACAGAGAGAGAGAGAGAAAGAGAGAGAGAGAGAGAGAGAGAGAGATGGGGGGGGGGAGAGAGAAATATAATAAGGGAGTGAGTGAGTGAAATGATGATGATGATGATGATGATGAACAAAATTTGCATGGCGCCATTTATTTTGTTAAAAAAAAACATTCTAAGGCGCGAGCTCCTCCAAATAGAGGGAGGGAGATGATTGGGTAATTGACCCAAAGCGATTAGGCCTAAAAGATGGAGAGAGAGAGAGAGAGAGAGAGAGAGGATGTGAGGGAGAGAGAAAAGGGAGAAGAGGGAGTGAGTGAGAGGAGAGAGAGAGAGAGAGGGTGAGAAAGAGTAGGAGAGTGAATGAGTGAGAGAGAGGGTGAGAAAGAAGAAAAAGGGACAGAGAGAGAGAGAGAGAGAGAGATAGAGATAGATTTAGGGAGCAGTGGCGTATCGTGTTAATTATAGGAGGGTGGGGTGGCAGGCCTACAAGCTCAGTGTTCAAGCATCACTCCAATTTTAAATTCATCACAGAAAATTCACTTTGCATCACTCTGACACTCGTCATTTGCCATGTACGCGCGTTCGGGCATATTTGATTCTAAATTTTGCGAGTGAGCGAAACCCTTTTGAGATAACCCGCGGCATCCCGGTTAAAAGCAACGCTGTACTTAATGGTCAAGATTGAAGGCAGAGGCGTCGCTAGACCTTTTTCAGTAGGGGGGGGTGTAGAGGCCAAAGATTACCGACAAAATTAAATGTCCCAATGTCTACAAATTTAACCCTATAAACCCGAGGCCGAAGGCTAAATTTGTTTTCCTACGGCCTATCTATAGTACTTGCGTATGCGCAAATGGTCATTTTCCTCGACGACATAAATATACAAATTATTTCTTCAACTTAGTCAACATCATAGCTATACATTTCAAAGCAGGCGCGAAGCTAGGATCTTATTTTAGGGAGGGGCGGTAGTGAGCAAGTGAATCACTTAAAGAGCGCGCTAATTAGGGGTGTGTGGGTGATAGGGTGATAGAGTGATATAGGGTGATAGGAAGTTTAGACGTTCCTTAAATTATTAGGAAAAGAAGACGATTTATTGTACCGTTCTCGACTGTTAATCCTCATCTGAATGAAGTTCTCCCCCTCTCGGTTTCAACTCTTGTCTTATTAAGCCCTATTTATCTGAATTCAGTCTCCTCCTCTCGCGCGAACCGTGGAAGCTTTGATTTCCTTAAATTATTAGAGAAAGCAGATGATTCGTTGTACCGTTTTCGACACTTAATAAGCCTTATTTGTCTAAGTTTAGTTTTCCATTCTCGCGCGAAGCGCTGAAGCTCTGACGTTTCCTTTAATTATTAGAGAAAGCAGACGATTCGTTGTACCATTTTCGACTCTAAACCCTATTTGTCTGAATTCAGTTTCCCCCTCTCGCGCGAATCGCGGAAGCTTTGACGTTTCCTTACATTATAGAGGAAGCAGACAATTTGTTGTACCGTTCGCGACTCCTAACCCTAATTTGTCTAAATTCAATTCCCCTCGGGAGCTTTGAAGTTTCCTTAAATTATGAGAGAAAGCAAACGATTTGTTGTACTGTTCTCGACTCTTAATCCTTATCTGAATTCAGTTTTCCCCCTCCCGCGCGAATCGCGGAAGCTTAGACGTTTCCTTTAAATATTATTATTAAAGAAAGAAGACGATTCGTCGTACCGCTCTCGACTCGTTTAAATTAAGTTTGTCCGTCCCTCTTAATCCTTGTTTGAATTCAGTTACCCCCGAAAATGTTATACCTCTGATTTCTTTAGCTGATATTATAGGAAAGTGAAACTTCGAGAAAATTATTGTAGTTGTAGTCACTCTCGAAGTCGTCACAGCGGACAAAAAGTCACAGTTCGAAGGGAAAAAAACTTGTCGGCCGACCGACAATATAAATCCCACTTTAAACTTCTGCATTGATATAGTACACGAGGATCGAGCAAGAATACCGACAGAGCTGACCCGACACAGCAACATATTTACCCGTATCTTTCTTGCTACCTCGACGGGACGACTCCAGTCTCCACCCAACAACCCCCTTACATCCCCTCTCTCTACTCTTTTTCATCCCCCGTTTCTTCTGTTTCCCTTTTCTCTTATTTTTTTCCTTTTCTATCTTTTCTTTCTTTTCCTTTCTTTCCTCTCCTCCCTCTTTTTCTTTTTTCTCTCTTTTCCTTCCTTTCTCTTCCTTTCTTTCCTTTCTTTTCTTTCTTTTCCTTTCTTCCTTTCTTTTCCTTTTCTTTCTTTCTTTCTTTCTTTCTTTCCCTTTCCCTCTTTTTTCCCGACGGCAGCGCAATTTTACCGACAATATCCTGACAGGTGGGGTAGGGTGTCGCACCCCCACACCCCCCCCTTTGGCGACGCCCCTGATTGAAGGGGGACAACCAGGTCGTTAGGGTAAATACTCCTTGCCGTTAAATAAAGCAGAACATTTTTAGAAGCAGACAGGTGAATTTTGAATGAAATCGGGCAAAAATTATGAAAATGAATTAAATTGTAATCACTAGACATATGAGCGCTTGAAATTGTCTAATTAGATAAGGTCAGCAGTGCCGGACAACTTTTTTGTTGTTGTATCAACCCACAAAACTACTATCCCTTTTTTAATTGATGACTCAGGAAGGCCTTTTCTAGTGATTTGCTATTGATAATATATTTAAGTAGTGCCCAAGGCGAGAAGGTATACTTAGGGGAAAAACAGAATTAAGGATATTTGTGTGCACGGGAGTTGCACGTGACGACATCATGACCATTAAATAAATTACCAATTTGAGATTCGCATTGATTTAGTGGTTGTATGTATATTCATTCATAACAATCGTATTACTGTCTTGTCTGATTTATTTCAAACTTTTTTCCACTTTGATCTTCCTTTTCTGTTTCCATACAAGTTAACTTATTTACAATTAAAAGGTTGGACTGCCCTCTTATTTATCACAGTAAACACGGCACGCAAAGAAATATGAATAGCACCATCTAGGGCTAATCATTTTTTGCCAAAGCAGTTTTGCCAAAATAACCTCCCTTTTTCGATTCAAGGTATCTCATTTTCTTCCATATTTTCCTATCAACAAAATACTCAATTAGTTATGAATATAAACAAAATCACGAAGGGCATATCGACTGTTTTAAAACACGAAGAAGACGTTAGTTAAATAATTACAATTATTGGGTTAATCCGGTCCGCCTTAAATATAGATATGAGAACGAAAGAGATTCAGAGAAGTAAACATGAAACGGGAAAGAAAATATAAGAAAGGGAAATGAATTGAAGGTAACGAGG